GGGTCAGTGAGCTTTTTCTATAAAGGGCCGTTAAGTAAATACTTGTGGCTTCATGAACCAGATGGTCTCTGCTGCAACTACCCAGCTCTGCCATTATAGCACAAAAGCAGCCATAGGCCATAGGTAAATGAATGAGAGTGACTGTGCTCCAATACAACTGTTTATGGGCAATGGAATTTGAATTTCACGTAATTTTCACGTATCATGAAATATTATTGTTGTTCAGCTTTTTTTTCCCAACTATTTAAAAATATAAAGACCACCTGTAGCTCAAGGACCGTACAGGTGGGTCTGAATTTGGCATGTGGGTTCATAGTTTGCTGACTTCTGAATCGGAGAAGCTGGCCAGAGGCAGAATGATGAAGCACACTGTTCCTCAAAGTGGGGTACCAGAGCACCCACACTGGGGATGCTTGAGGTTGCTTCTCCCCACAGTGTGCCTGCGGGAGCCCTAATACCTTGAAGCTTCTGGTTGCTGATCCGCAAGTACAGGACCCACATTAGAGCCCGAAGTTTCTGTCTTGAGTATGACAGAGCTTTGTCGAGAAAAGGCTTTGTATCAGGTGTACACGTATTAGTAGAGCCCAGGGTGAGCTTGAGTCAGACTGAATGATCTCAGTCGTGGTTCAGTCCTCACCAGCTTTGTTACCTGGAGCAAGTTACTTAACCTCTCTGTTCTTCAATTTCCTCATCTGTGCAATGAGACTAATAATAGCACCTATCAAATAGGGCTGTTGTGTTGTGTTGTAAAGCACTTCCTGCCAGACGGGAAATGTCTGTAATTATTAGCTGATGTGATTTTTCACTGATGTTATCATTCCTGGGACACAGTCTAAGTTAGTAGCCAAGCTAAGTGCCAGCCCAGGATTCTGGCTCCAGTGCAGCCTTTGTGATGGTCTTTGTGTCCCTGGCAAATGAGCAGTCACCGACTGGGTGGCCACCACATTCACAGACAGGTCAGGTTTCAGGCTGTGGGGAGGAGCGGATTCTTACTTGGAAATTAAGGCCTTTGCCTGCCCCTATGGATAGAACTGGCGAATAGGTTTTATTCTTAACCTTAGTGAGCTCAAAGAAATAAGAGTAAGGTCCCAGACTTCTACTCTTCTGGTTTTAGAAAAAAAAAAAAAACAACTCAAACCCTCAGTGTCTCCTAATGAGCTTGAGGCCATCACCCCGTGAGAAGCAGGGGGATTCAGGACAGGTTAACTCTTTACTCCCTTTCTAAGGAGATCTTGATCTAGGCCGGTGCCCTCCAAACTTCTGTCTTTCATGTAGCTCCTTTATGACTTGTGTCTACCCCCACACCATCTTCATTATTATTTTCATAGGGTTTTCTTTTCATTAGCTTATCTGTTAAAATTTGACCTCATCCTATGTAATTATATCCGTGAAATCATGGCTTTGATGTTCGTGTTTTTTTCCTATCCTGCATTAAAGTAAGTATGTCCCTCTAAAAATGTCTTTAAGTTTGCCCGTGAGCCCACCTGGCGTGATCCCAGGTAGCTCATTTTGATCGCTGGGACGTAAGCAGCCTGAAATGGGGTCACAGCTTAGTCTCCGCATCAGAAGAGCTGGGTTCAGGTGCCAGCTCCGCCCCTTCCTGGCTGTGTCCCCCAGGTCTCCACCTCAAGGGACATGGGCAACTTAGAAGCTGATCAAGCACTGCAAAGTGCAGTGGAGAAGCACGGTGCAAGACCTGAGGAGGGGAACTAGGCCTCACTCCTGCTGGGGAAGGTAGAGAAGGGAAGGACGGAGCCAGGGGAGGAGGGAGCAGGAGAGAAGAACCAGCCAGACCACGGGGGCTGAGACAGACAGAGAATTTAGGGACAGACAGAGGGGTCTACTGTTTGAACTTGTTTGTGTTGGTGCAGTATAAACCCTGTAGTGGTTAACTTTATGTGTCAACTTGGCTAGGCCAGGGGAGACAGATATTTGGTCAAACATTATTTTAGATGTTTCTGTGAACGTATGTCTTAGATGAGATTAACACTGAAATCGCTAGACTCACGTAAAGCGTATTGCCCTCCATAACGTGGGTGGGCTTCGTCCAATCAGTTGAAGGTCTGAATAGAAAAAGACTGACCTCCCCAGAACAAGAGGAAATTTGGCCAGCAGGCTCCCCTTGCCCTTGCACTCGGACAGCGTCTGTTTCCTGGATCTCCAGCCTGTCAGCTCACCCTACAGATTTTCAACTTGCTAAGCCTTCACAACTGCATAAGCCAATTCCTTAAGTGCTCGCTTGCTGTCTCTTTCTCGTGTGTGTGTGAGTGTGTGTATGTGCGTGTGTCTGTCTGTCTCTCTTTCTTTCTGTTAGTTCCTTTTCTCTTATTTATTTATTTGAGACGGAGTCTCACTCTATTCCCAGGCTAGAGTGCAATGGGGCAGTCTTGGCTCACTGCAACCTCCACCTCCCAGGTTCAAGCAATTCTCCTGCCTCAGCCTCCCGAGTAGCTGGAAGTACAGGCACGTGCCACCACACCTGACTAATTGTTATATTTTTTGTAGAGACGGGGTTTCACCATGTTGGCCAGGCTGGTCTTGAACTCCTGACCTCGTGATCCGCTCACTTTGGCCTCCCAAGTGCTGGGATTACAGGCATGAGCCACCACGCCCAGCCTAGTTCCTTTATTCTGGAGAACCTTGACTAATACAAACCCCATTCCACCCCTGACCATCCAGATTGTCAACAACACCTTTTACGCTCCCAAGTGGGGAGTGAAAACAGTTGCCGTCTATACCTCAGCCAGCCACTTCAAGCCTCTGCCTTCACAGCCTCACTTCTTCTTACCTGGGGAGTTTTAGAAAACCTTTCTTTATCTCACTGACATTTCCTTTTGTTAGGTACTATAGTTAGTTACATCGACTTTAAGATTGTAGGCTGCCGAAGCAATACCCTCTGTAAGGTATTTTAGGGTTTCTCCTGTGGTTTGTGGTTAAAAAAAAATAACAGGGGAGAGGCAGCCAGGGTTTTGAGGAAGGGCGGCTCAGCAAATTAGGAGGTGGATGGAACTTTCCACGCTGGGTCTGGAAAGAGTTATTCCTTTGGAAAATAGTTTTCAAGACAAGTTTCTGGCTGAAAAAAAAATGGCTTCTGCATATTTGCGATTTAAAAATCTCTTATGGGAGTGCTTGAAATTCTCAATCATGTTGTGCTTGATATGTTTGTAGAGGATAGCATTTATTTTGGTGCTTGAAATGTATACTCTCCTCCTCACACATCCCTGGAAGGTGAGTGCTTTGGTCATCTTTATTCTGTAGAGGAGGAACTGAGGCACAGAGAGGCCGAGGAGTCACCCAGGGTCACACAGTTCGTAGGTGCTTGAGTCTGGGCAGGATTTGTCTGTGTCTGCATCCCATCCTCCCAACTCTTCCATCTCACTGATTCTCCCTTGGAACTGAAAGAGGCCAGGCACGGAGGCTCACGCCTGTAATCCCAGCACTTTGGGAGGCCAAGGCAGATAGATCGCCTGAGGTCAGGAGTTTGAGACCAGCCTGGCCAACATGGTGAAACCCCATCTTTACTAAAAATACAAAAATTAGCTGGACATGATGGTGAGTGTCTGTAATCCCAGCTACTCTGGAGGCTGAGGCAGGAGAATCGCTTGAACCGGTGAGGCAGAGGTTGCAGTGAGCCGAGATCACACCACAGCACTCCAGCCTGGGCGACAGAGACTGCATCTCAAAAAAACAAACAAAAAATAGAACTAAAAGAGACGTGCTGGGTTTCCCTTTGAGTGAAAACATCTGTGTCCATCTAGAATGAATTCGTTCAGTAATGACTCCTTCTGTATTTTTGCCTAACCTTCTTGACCACATTGGTTTCATCCTCATGCTTGCATTCTCATGGTAGGAAGCACAGGTGAAGGAACCAACTGTCTGTGTCTCTGTTACCAAGAAAGCAAAACTTTCCCCAGGAGCCACGCAAGAGACATCCGCTTCCATCTCAGTGGCCATAGGTCCCACGGCCACTTCTGGCTGCAAGAGTGTCTAGAAAAGCTAAATGCTGTGGGTCCAGGAGGATCATCTTTCACAACTATTGGAGTCAGCTCCATATGATGGAGTTAATAAAAATTTCACATAGTCACTGGATGCAGTCATAGAAATACAGTATCTAACAAGGACAGATAAGTGTGGCGTGTGGGTTCCCACACTTCATTTCCAGATGGACAGCACAGCTGGCCTATATCCAGAGGGGTCGGTCAGAATAGTGAAGGCTCTGGAGATCATTACCAGAGTAGAGTGGTCACAGGTCCTGAGGATGTTAGGTTGGAGGACAGATTAAGGAGGGATGCGGTACTTTTTAAAACTATTCAAAGGGACACGGTGGCTCACGCCTGTAATCCCAGCACTTTGGGAGGCTGAGGCGGGTGGATCACGAGGTCAGGAGATCGAGACCATCCTAGCCAACATGGTGAAACCCCGTCTCTACTAAAAAATACAAAAAAAAATTAGCCAGGTGTGGTAGCAGGTGCCTGTAGTCCCAGCTGCTCAGGAGGCTGAGGCAGGAGAATGGCGTGAACCCAGGAGGCAGAGCTTGCAGTGAGCCAAGATTGAGCCACTGCACTCCAGCTTGTGCGATAGAGCAAGACTCTGTCTCGAAAAAAAAAAAAAAAGTATTCAAAGGGGCACAGCGGCTCACGCCTGTAATCCCAGCGCTTTGAGAGGACAAGGCGGGCGGATCAAGGGATCGAGACCATCCTGGCCAATGTGGTGAAACCCCGTCTCTACTAAAAATACAAAAATTAGCCGGGTGTGGTGGTGCATGCCTGTAGTCCCAGCTACTTGGGAGGCTGAGGCAGGAGGATCACTTGAACCCAGGAGGCAGAGGTTGCAGTGAGCCAAGATGGCGCCACTGCACACCAACCTGGGCAACAGAGTGAGACACCGTCAAAAAAACAAAAAGTATTCAAAGGACTGCAAGTTGGAAGAAAGATTAGGATTTCCACACAATAGTTTCTAAAGGATCAATGAGTGCCCAAGTGTGGAGGTATTTTATTTCATTTACATTGTTATAAAGGTTTATTGTGCTGGTGAATATGGCCTCATCCTTCATTCCGTCATTCAGCAAACAGGTACTACAGGTTTATCATGGGCCAGGTCCCTCTGGGGTAGACAATTGGACCATTCGTGAGCTATAACCTCCACCCTTAAAGGGCTCACAGACTCCTGGGACAGAGAGATGTAGAAACAAATAAATCACCCAACAGAGTTACTCCAATCACTCCACTAAGCAGTGCTTAGAGTTATGGTCTGTGGAAAATGCTCTTGGCCGCTGGCTGGAAGGAATAGGCCCTGAGTGGGTGTCAGGGCGGACCCCACCAGGAGACCTGACCTTTGGTCTGGGCTTAGGAGCATGAGTTGAGGTGGTGAGGAGTACATTTCTTCTTGGAAGAAGGGCAGCATGTTCAGAAGCACAGAAGCCTGAGGAGGGTGATGGGGCGGGTGCAGGTGGTCAGCTGAGCTGGTGATGAGAAGGAGTGGGAGGAAGGGCTGGGCCAGGTCTCAGCGCCAGCTCCCGAGGGCTTCCGTGGAGCCCGGTGCCTTCAGGTCTGTGCCGTGGTTGTCCACTGTGGAGCAGTCCCATGGGAAGGCCAGGGCAGCTGGGCCTCACTCCTTAAAGAGGAAAATTAATCATGAATCCTCTGAGCTGCAGGTAACAGGAACCCCACCCAGCAGAGTCTGAAACCACCACCACAACGCACTTTGTTTACCTAGCGAGAAGCCTGAAGGTCTGCAGTTTCAGGGTGGGTTTGACAGCTCCACGATGTCTGGAAACACGCAGGCTCTTTCTTGTTCTGTCCTTAGCCTGGTGGCTAATCAGTGAAATACAGTGAATACTGTTCTGGGAAGGTGGGGTAGGCAGGGGAGGTTAGCTTCAAACTGAGCACCTGGGCAGTCTGGAGCCTCAGTCCGTCATTCCAGAGGTATGTAATGCCCCGCTCTGCTCTGTCCCACCAGAAGGTGAGCCCCCAGTGTCTGCCCCAGGCAGGCAGAGGCAGTCTTCACACGGACAGAGCAGAGTGGAGAGCACACGAGTTTGGAGCACGCAGGCCTGGCTTTGCATCGAGCAAGTCACAAACCTCCGCACCTTGGCTGCCCCCACGACAGTCGGGGGTGTGGGGAGGTGACACGAAAGGTGGGCCCCCGGGCATCCCGCACAGGCTGACACTTGTTCACTGGATGATGCTGTTTGTCGTTGTTCTCCATGATGATATCGTCATGGTGCAGGGTGAGGAGTGACATGGTCTGCCCAGAAGGAGGCACCACTGAGGAGCCAACCCTGGGTGGGGATTAGAAGATGAGGGGTGTTCGGCTGGGCGCGGAGGCTCACGCCTGTAATCCCAGCACATTGGGAGGCCGAGGCAGGTGGATCACGAGGTCAGGAGATCAAGACCAGCCTGGCCAAGGTGGTGAAACCTCGTCTTTACTAAAAATACAAAAAACTTAGGCAGGCACTTGTAATCCCAGCTACTTGGGGGGCTGAGGCAGAAAATTGCTTGAACCCATGAGGCAGAGGTTGCAGTGAGCCGAGATCATGTACTGCACTCCAGCCTGGGCGACAGAGACATAGTCTCAAAAAAAAAAAAAAAGATGAGGGGAGTTCAGGAGTTCAGCTGACTCATGCCTCCTCTTCATCAGCACGCCTGGCACTGTCTCAGCACCTGGTCTTTCCTGCCGTGGAACCTTGACCTTTTGGAATTGTCAGTCATGGCCCCCCACTGGACTGTAAACCATCGCTGAGGCAGGACCTTGCTGGATTTGCTCACTGACGTCTCCCTGTAGCCTGGAAGACAAGTGTGGAGAATGCCTGAGAAGCACATAGCATAGAGGTTACGAATATGGACTTGAGAACCATACCTCTCTGGCTTTGAATCTGCTCTGCATCTCATAGACTGTGTGACTGCAGGCAAATTGCTGACTTCTCCATGCCCCTCAGTTCATCCTCTGTCTTAAAGGTTGTGGTGACGGGTAACTGAGGGTGTGACGTGCTTATTAAGTCCCATGCCTGGTGTGTGCTGAGTGCCAGATGAGCATGTGAACGGGATGAGCCTGACTGAATGAGGAGTGGCATTGCAGACAGGAGCTCAGAGGCATGAGAGGACAAGCCACATAGAGGGGGAGGGGGTACAGCTGACTGTGGCTGACACCAGTCCCTGGAGAGTTCAGGCTTTCGATCATCAGGCAGTGGGGGTGATGGACAATGTTTAAACAAAGGAAGTCGTGCTTGGAGTTATGTTTGAGTAAAGTGTGGAGGTGACAGTCCAGGCCTGGGGAGGTGGCAGCCTGAGCCAGAGCTGTCTCAGTGATCATGAGACTGTTGGAATGTGCAGGGTGGGAGCAAGAGGGCTCCAGGCTGCTTCCCAGAAGGCTGGCGTGGAAAGGGGTGATACTGGCCAGACACAGTGGGCAGTGGCTCACACCTGTAATCCCAGCACTTTGGGAGGCCGAGGCGGGCGGATCACTTGAGGTCAGGAGTTCGAGACTAGCATGGCCAGCATGGTGAGACCCCATCTCTACTAAAAATACAAAACTTAGCCAGGTGTGTTGGCAGGTACCTGTAATCCAGCTACTCGGGAGGCTGAGGCAGGAGAATCGCTTAAACCCAGAAGGCAGAGGTTGCAGTGAGCCAAGATCGTGCCGCTGTACTCCAACCTGGGTGACAGAACAAGACTGTCTCCCAAAGAAAGAAAGAGCCGGGCATGGTGGCTCATGCCTGTAATCCCAGCACTTTGGGAGGCCGAGGCGGGCGGATCCCTTGAGGTCAGGAGTTCGAGACCAGCATGGCCAGCATGGTGAAACCCCATCTCTACTAAAAATACAAAACTTAGCCAGCTGTGTTGGCAGGTACCTGTAACCCAGCTACTCGGGAGGCTGAGGCAGGAGAATCGCTTAAACCTGGGAGGCAGAGGTTGCACTGAGCCAAGATCGTGCTGCTGTTCTCCAACCTGGGTGACAGAACAAGACTGTCTCCCAAAAATAAGAAAGAAAGAAAGGGGTGATACCATATCATGGCCCCCATCTCTGATGCTGCCTGTGGTGTGGCATGTCTTTGGTCTGTTGGGCGATTTCTTTGTTTCCACATCTCTCTCTCTCTCCCAGGAGTCTGTGAGCTTATTCTTTCTCTTGGCCCAAATCATAGTCATTGTAGCTCGGTTACTCATTGCTAGCCTTTCCTGATGTCATACTGACATTGTCTGGCTGCGAGGTCACAACATCCTGTGAAGCAGGCAGTCTTATCCTGATTTTATGGGTGCAAAAACAGACTCAGGGGCTGGATCTTTGCCCATGGTCTCTGAGTTAGGTCAGGCCAGACTCATCCCACTCCATCCTCATCTCCATGAGGGACAAGTGGGTCTTGCCATCGTGCCAGGCAGGTTATCTGGAGCCCTCCAGGGAGGTGGTGTCTGCACCAGGCCCAACAGGAAGAGGACAGACTGCCGTACAGGTGCCCAGTGATCCGAAGCCACAGACTTGCCAGCCATAGACAACCGCAAAGCCGCCTGATGAAAGGTGGAGGATTGCAGGGCCGGGCTCTGACAGGAGCTGGAAGACAAGAGCACGGCTGCTACCCAGAGGCCCTTGAAGTTTACTGCCAACAGCTCCAAGGTCAGGGAATCAGTTGTCATCCTCTTGGTAACTGGTAACCCCTGTCAGTATTTTTATTCCCCCTTCTTAAAATAGCAAGCTGAATTACTTCTGTGGTTAAGAACAAAAACAAAGCAAATATTGCCAGGTTCCTGTGGGTTTAAAATTCTGCCCAGATGGAATGTGCCTACCCTGTGGGCATCTGAAGGAAATCCATGATTCTCCCCGGTTCTGTAGTCCACACCTGGCCCTGGAGGAACCTGGAAGAACCTAGAAGGGGTTGGCAAGTGATGGTCTGAGCAGATGTGTCCCACAGCCTCCCAACAGCTGTCTTGTACTGCACACAGATCGGCCTTGTCCCAATTTTGTCTCCTCCTCCTCTTTCTCTCCCCTTTCTCTTTTAGGCCACATGTCCCCTCCCACCCCGCAGAAAACCTCCATCTTCTGATTGGCTCTGCCCACTGCTGCCTGCTACCACTCAGGGCTAAGGAGCTTGCCCGCGCTGCTTGGGTCACATCAGACTCATGCACCAGGGCAGGGGGGAGGGGAGGCGGTCTTTCTGCACCCACCTTATTCCCGGGTATGGGATTTCTCTTATTTATCAATGTCCCCGCTTCCCTTTAAAAGCCACTTGCTTGCCTTTCCAAAGCACCCACAGCCTCTCCTGAAACACTGATGTTCTCTCCTCCAGGAGATGAGAAGTGCCCATCGTTTTCAGGGGGTGCTAGGGACAGAAGGGGATCTGATGGAGGGGACCACTGAGGGGCCTGCCAGTGGAGCTCAGGGAGGAGAGCGCCGACTGCCTGCGTGGTCGGGAAGGACACTTCTGGGAAAGCAGAGCTCCCCGCCCCCGCGGAGAGATGCGGATGGCACAGACGCCTCAGGCACCTGCGCCACAGCCTCAGCAGCCGCCCCGCCCTTACCTCTGTGTACCCTTTGCAAGTTGGTGACCTCTCTGTGCTTCAGTTTCCTCGTGAGATGAGGGCAATAATGCACACCTTACAGCGTGTGAAAATTGAATCTCATTCTTCATGTGAACAGCTAATGCTGCTTGATATTCTACGGCATATAACTTGGAAAGTTAAAATATTATTGTGGAAGGACATGCAGGCCAGGCCGAAGACTAGGGAGACGCGGAAGGATTTGGGCAGGAAGGACACTGTCATTTTCAGGTTTCAGAAAGTTCCCTCTGGGCAGCATGGAGAATGGGTGGGAGGAGGGAGGCAGGAGGAAGGAAGAAGCTGAGGCAGTGGTCTAGTGGGCAGATGGTGGCCGGGCTGGGACAGGGACCGTGGCAGAGGGGTGGTGAGAAGGGGATGGTGTGATGGACAGAGATCTGGGAGCTGACTTGGCAGGACTTCGTGGCCTTTAGATGTGGGCGGGGAGGGAGATGACACTAACCCTCTGGCCCGTGTGACTGGGGCTCGCTGAGATGTGGCCTGTGGCAGAGGAGCAGGTTCTGTAGGTTAACGCTGACATGACTAACCCCTGCCCCCAAACCCTCCAAAGCAGGACATGGCCCTCTGCTCAGAGGGACACTTGTTCAGCCCGCTCTGTTCTTCCCATGTGGCTCTTTAAGTGTGGAACCCCCAAGGGCAGGGGTGTGGTATAAAGAAGCCACACTCAGTAAACCTTCGCAGGATGGATGACTCTGTCTTTCAGCCCCGTCAGAGGAGCCTTCCTCATCCCCTCCTCCAGGCCTGGTCTGGGGGTAAAGCAACCGCCCTCTGCCTCAGCCGCCTGGCATGTGTCCTGGGCCACCCTGGCATCCTTCTGGCTCAGGACCTAAGGGTGGAACTGAAGTTGGGCCAGTTGCAAAACCAAGGTCTCAGAGCCACAGTTTTAGAGTTGGGCGAGCCAGCGTGGCTAGAAGAGGGCCCTGTCCAGTCCCACGAAAACTGCCCTCCCCTGTCCTCCGACAGACTGGGTTTGGCATGCCCTGTAGCTTCCTTTGGGCACCCTAAGGCAGGGACCATGCCCACCGTGTCCACCATGGTATCCCAGTGCCTGGAACCGGCCTGGCTTACAAATAGCTGTGTAACAATCGAGGAGTCACCCACCCTCTCCGAGCTGGGGCACAGCCATGAGGGGAGAGCCTCCCTTGCAGGACAGCATGACATCACGTGGAATAACAAGTTCTACAATGCCTACCCAGGCGCACACTCCTGAAAGATAATAGACAGCCAGCAGCACTGTGCCCAAGTGCCAGGCCCACCAGCCAGCAGGTGTGCCAAGGCCGGCAGGATGGCTGCAGAGGACGGCAGGCGGATGAGTACTCCGCATGTGACCCTTGCCGGGGAGAGAGCCTTGGGTAGTCCCTGCGTCAGAACAGGATCTCACCCTTAAAATGCTGAGCAAGGCCTGTCTCATCACACAGTCCTCCATGTAGTCACAATACATGCCAGCCAGAGTGATGTGCGTAATAGAACGTTACCTGCAAGAAACAGGGCACATTTCCTGTGTGCACGTGGTTGAACTGGTCTGCGTGAAGATGGCATCTAGGAAGGCGCAGAGAACAAAAAACAGGCCATGCGGCACCTCCCTTTCCTGAGGACCATTTACAAAGGTGCTGGCATTGCCTACCAATCGGTATCTTCCACGCTACATTTTACAAAAGGCTGCCAGCCCGGTACTTGCCACCATGCGGACCTGCAGCCAGTGGTCCAGGCCATGGCCCTGACGGGCTTCCAGAACCCTGCAGCTGACTCCCGGACTGGAAATCTTACCCTCAGAACTGCCACAAAGTCAAAATTTTCTGGAACTGAATAGAGGTGGTGGTGGTTGTATTTAGTATTACAAATGTACCACATGCCACTGAATTATACACGG